CATATTTTTTTAATAATTCTGTATGTATGTATGTAGGTATACATTTCAATTCATGACATTTCTCATTTCATTGCAAGCAAATATGCATTAGTCGACAAGTTTACTTTTTTTACCGAAATTTTCACTCTAAACAGCTCAATCTTACTTTTACCGTTCTTTTTTTTTCTGTAATCACCTAAGCTAAGTATAAGTTGTCATTGCACTCTGCGCGAATTAGTGTTAATTGATTGCTTGTCAAATCAGAAACATGCAATGCCAATGGCTGGTATACTTTTCTTTTTTAATTTGTTAATTTTCTGTGCACACTTTTGTGCAACAGTTTTTGCCTGGAATTTCTAAAAGGTAATCATTATTTTTTCATAGAACCCATTGCATTACGGTAAACAAAGGAAAATGAACTCCATTTCCTATTGCAATCGGTTAATTGTGTGGGACGAAAAGTAATGTTTACACTGAGCAAAGCGGTTAGGTTGTTTGATTTTAATGGAGGAAATACGGTGGCGATCAAAATGGGATGAATGGTGTTTCGTTTTTAATGAATATTTACAATGTTTTTCAAGCTAAAGTATTTTTAATATTTTGTTATAAAAACACGGTTCATGCTATAACAAAAACTATTCAAATCACATTTTCAAACTTATACAGAATTTGGAAAAATTCCACAAATGTTATCTAAATTTCGAGCTTTTTAACCAGAAATTTTATTTTATAAGATTCTAGTAAAATAAGTGCAACTTTTGAGCAGCTAAAAAAATCGCATTCATTTTTAGTAATTTTTAATGCTGGCCGTTTTTTTTCATATAAATAGCGAAATTTAGGTAAACTGGCGTTGACTTTTTTTTTATTTATCCGCAGTATTCTTCCACAAGAAATTCATGTTTATATAATGTCGTTTCCGAAGAAAATTTTGATCCGCGGTTTCAATTTAGAGTTCAAAGACACACAAATTTAGCGTATATTTACATAAATACATACTATATGCATTAAGCAACCGATGAGCGAGTGAGTTTTAGCTGTGCATTTTGGAACACTCTTTGCCCTGCTGTGTTTGAAGTCAATTATAGCTCTGAAAATTTATTAGAATTTAAGGGAAGGAAACTTTAGAGCTGACTTGACATGAAATCCGTCCATTTTACTCGCTTATCTCGACGTTCAATTAGTCCATTTAAGTAAGTGTAGTTTGTCGTGCCTCTCTTGATCTTCTTCTGTTTGCTTTGGCTGATCAATTCTCCGCCCTTTTGAGTATACATATGTAAATATTGCTTCAATTTATTGCGTGTAATAAAATAAGGTTTTAATTTTCACTTATCGTAATTTCACAGCGCAAGCAAATATACACACATACATATTTATGTATGTAGTATAGTGGTGTATAAATACTAGGAATGTTAGTTCCGGGATCCCGGCCATTTTAAGGTCTCAAAAATCCCGGGATTCTTGGCAGGTAATCCCGTGATTTTCGGGATTTGTAATTTGCAACGATAGCAATAATATAAACTTCTTTTCTTGACCAGTATTGGCTAAATATATTTGAAAATGGCAATATCGGACAATAACCACGCCTACCTCCCATATACCCACTCAAAATTGATATTTACAATAAATTTTAGACGAAAAATAAGAATATTATAAATTTTTGGAAAATGGGCGCGTATATCTTGGTAACCCCCGCACCAGTTTCTTCCATACTTGGCACAGTTGTTAGCCTTGCTACAGCATACCAAATGGCCGAAAATTTTTAAAATCGGACAATAACCATGCCCACTATTGGCTTTATTTCTTGTTTTATTTAATAATTAATATTTGTTTATCAATGTATAGCTTATTATACATATAACATCGCGCGATAGTAAATTTTAAACACGAAACCATGGACCAAGTATGGTAAAATTTCCCTTTTAGTTTTTCATTTTGACGTCGGTAATTCAAAAATGATTTAAAAATTCAGAGAAATACGCTTAGAGAAGAAGTATGGGCGTCAAATTAAAGAGGAAATCCTGTAGAGTTGAAACAGATTAAAATTTTTGGTGCAGAGGGACTGGTAAGTATTGAAAATGTCCTTTTAAAATTTTACCCTTGAAATTTCCCCATATTTGTTTTTTTTTTAGAAAATTATATGTTAAGGACTATATAAACTCGATAACATACTTGAATTTCGTTCCTCCAACTTTATCAGCTTAAAAAAAAGTTTAAATAAAAATTGTGAATCCAAAAAATTTTAATTTTTGTTTAATTCTAAAGAAATTTCCTCTTGCATTTGGTACCCATATTTTTATTCTACATTGCATTGAATTTTTAAAATAATTTTTGGAATAAATCATATCTTTGAAATAACAAAGCCCTTTAAAATAAATCCTTACGTCAGAGAGAAAAAATAAAAAATAAATAAAAAAGTAGGTTTCAAACCCATCACAGTGGTCTTGAAACAATGATAGGTATGACTAAAATGCCAACCAAAACTGCTTGCATACCTGTTTTGGAAGGCACCCATACACCAATATGCAGTTGGAATTAAAATCATATCTGCTCCTATGCCTAAAATATTGTCAAATGAAAATTTGGAAAAAATTTAACTGCAATTGTTAGTATTTCTTGTTCAACAGAGTATTCTAAAGTTATCGTTTTGTATATTAGTGTAAAAGAAAAACAGATAGTATTTTTCTCGATGATAATATTTCTGGTGTAAGCTATTTGATTGAACATCATGTCTTCTATAAGTCATCCGCAACATAAGTGTAATCACGAAGAGAACAGATTTAAAGTGTGCGCGCCTTGTGGGAGAAAGATTAAATTCGGATCGTCAAAACCTTCAGAATTTAATATAACCGGAAAATTGGTGTGTCTTATTAAAAAATACGTTAGTGAAAATTTTAGATTGACCAATTCGAAGTTCCCATTAGGCATTTGTGGTACATGTCGTAGGGTTCTCTGTGACCGAGATATGGATATACCAAATGCAACGCGGCCTCTTCCAAACATGCCTAACTATGAAGATTCGACAAAAGAAACAAGAACAAGTTCATGCTCTTGTTATATCTGGCTCACTGCTCGGGCAACCAGCCATCCAAAAGTTATACAAGGGAGAGCACATACCTTAAATGTATTTAGTGAAAAAAACTCCACCAATGGGTTGACTGCTTTGTCAGTTGGGTCAGAATTAAAAAATCATGTAAGTAAACTCGCTAAATCCTTCCGAAGCACAGAAATGTCGGAAACATTAAAAATTCACGTGCTTCTAAATCATTTGGAACATAGTCTGCATTTTTTAGGCAACGACGGCTTCGGAATGTGGTCGGAGCAAGCTGGAGAATCCATTCATGGCGTATTTTTAAGATTTTGGCTCAATTATAAAGTTAATTCGACTGACGACCCTAAATATATAATCAATTTAAAAAAAACTGTAGTTGAATTTTCATCAAAACACATATGAATTTATATAAAATAATATTTTATATTGACTTTGTAAATTTATAAAATTTATGCAATGAGAATTATTAAAATATGCAATTATGTAATATTATCTCTTGAATATCTAAGTTAAAATATTTTATGCCTATAACGTAAGAAAGTGTTATAATTATATTACCATAGACCTTCGCGATTATATAACTGGATTTGGAAAGTTCTAGATCAACATTTTATAATATTTTAAGCATAGGAGCAGATGGAATTTTATTTTCAACGAAATTTTGATCTATGATTATGTACAAAGACAGTTATGTAAGCCGTTTTGGTTGGCATTTTAGTCATAGCTATGGTTGCTTCAAGACCACTGTGCCATATATTTATTATTTATTTTATGGTAGGAGAGCTTCTCAAAAACTATAGAAACAATTTTTTCGATTTAAGTTGTTGAAAATTAATGAATATCTTAATTCCGGAATCCCGGGATTGTGAAAACGACATCCCGAAAATCCCGGGATCGGAAACAGCTGAAAAATTAACATGCCCAATACATAAATACTATTGTATTCTAATATGTACATATGTACCTAAATACGCATAAACACAAATGCACTCTTATATAAAATAAATGTGTAAAATGCAATATTTCGAGCAGATGAAAGTAAAATCTAAAAGTGCTATAAACACTTGGAAGAGTGCAGTTTATTTGGTATTCGGCTCACATCCGTTTTAGTACATGATATAGCCTAAAATAGTTCATAGATCTTCATTGAAATGCAATTTGGACTGATGGTTGATTATTCCCTGACTAGAACACATTTGCTTGCTTTGCGATAAATTCAATTAATCCACTTTTTTATTGTGCAGTGCATGTGCGGCTCGTGCTGCTAATTGCTTTTATATAGAGCACAAAGGCAAATTTTATTTTGATAAGCAGCTCAATACAATAGTTATAGTAACTAATAAATCTTAATAAGCTTTCACAAAAATTGTTAAATCGGAATAGGTAGTACATATATTGTTTTGTCTTCAGCGAAGATTCTCATACTACACTAGAATGACTGAAAAATCGACATGCCGTGAAAGACGGAGAGGGGTTAATTTTAAATTAAAAGCAGTTCATTCGTTTTAACAGTAGCAATTTAAATTTTCAGTTTTATTTTATTATTTTAATAACAAAAAAGCTTAATATACATGTTTTGAGAGATTTCTGCAACCTTACGGAGTGCTGCCAGCTTTTCTTTTTATCACAACACGATGTAACGAGCAAATGTGGCACGTTCCAGAAACCGTTACTAGGGATATGCCGATTTTGACAATTCTCAAGTAAAAGTAAACAACGCCTTAGAAACTTTAGATGCACTGAAATTTGCGAATACTTTCACAAAAATCGCCGTTTTTAACATTTTCGCTATTTTAGTTCTTTTTATAAATCACAATTTTGCAATTTAACACAATAAAACCACGTTTCCTGTCAAAAAATTTATTATTGAGAAAGTTTATTATTTTACAGTTTATTTTATCTTCCCATTCGGCTTTGTTTACTTTTACTTGAGAAATTTCATCGCCGCTGGGAATGGGGAATCTTGTATTAAATATATCATTCTTGTAACCATATAGTGTTTGGTGTTGGTCAATTTTTGCTCTTAAAATTAAGAAAATTATGTCGAGCAAAATATTTATAACTACTCAAAAACGCTAATATGTGGTAGATGTCAGCAGACCTTCTATGGTAGATGTCAGCAGACCTTCTATGGTAGATGTCAGCAGACCTTGTGTGGTAGATGTGGTAGATGCTCCAATGTGGTAGAAGTCCGATCACTGGGGCTCACCCTCATCAGAAATCCTTGCCACTTGAAATGAGGTAATTTTTCATTTACATAAATATTACGAACTATTGAATAATTTAATTTACTGATTGACTTACAGATATAAAGAGGGAAAAAGACCAGACGCACTATTGGCTGAAATTTGTTGGTGGCCAAAGTTTAAGTACGAAGAAGGCGATGGGAACGATAAGTTCACATCTTGCATACTCACCATAGTCCGTTGGAGTTTTTCACCTTCATTGACCCCCCGTGAAAATGCCTGCTTAAAATTTCTGCAGAACATTTTAACCCTTTAACTGCATTTATTGATAAACTTTTATGAAACTTTCTTTAAAGAGGTTCAAAAAACAGTTAAAGGGCAAAAATATTCTACAAAAAAAAAATTCATTAAATTTTACTGTAGGTCTCTGAAGACAGAAATTATGTTTGAAGTTGATTTATGTATAATAATTCAAGTAAAATATATTACGTTAATCATATAAAAATGTTGCCTGAGAAGAGCCCTAATGAAATTTCACGAGAAATAATTCCATTTCCTCTCGCGACCATCGAAATTCACTTTTTTGTAATGTCTCAAAATGAGGTATCAAAACGGCCCTTCTATAAGAGAAATGGTGCCCTAAAATGTTAAGCATCCTTGGAAATCAGAACCCCCCCTAATGATTTGAGTTTAGAATCACTGCCAGATATGTGGAATACCTCAGAACTATTACACACATACCAAGCCGAATAAAAGTAATATTTCAACTTTGCTCCAATGCCACCAATTCACATTTACGACCATAAAATGAAAAATGAGCCACGAATTCGGCTGTGTCATTGTGCTTGCAACGGAGTGGTGGCACAAGCTGGGCCGCATCTTCTTCCTGATGCAAGCGAACAGACAAGATAGCCACCAATGCAGCTATGCCACCAAATGCAGCAGAATAAGCAGCAGCTGTGCGAGCAAGCAGTACGAGGAAATTGCCGAAATGCAGTGATGCATCGCAAAAATGAAAGACAGCGACAGCGGCAAAAGGAAATTTGGTGCCCAAAAACACACAAAAACCTTAATGACGAACCAAATCAGAGGGGGCCGGCCACAAAGCAGAGCTAGCATCACAAGTGTTGCGCATATCCTTTTCAGTTGTATATGGTTGAGCGCGCGACGCGGAAATATTACACATACAAATATGCACACATGTACATATGTACATGCATACTTAAGTAAATAAATTCATGTTGTGTTGGTGTTAAATTCACTTCATAAGCAAATTTACTTTCGTTGCGTTTAAATGATTTTGTGTGCCCCAAAAATGAGTGTTTGTTATGGGAATTATGTCGTGCGTGGCGACAACAACAACAACAGCAACATCGTTAAGTAGACAGTCTGTTGCAGCTAGTCAATAAAATGTGCTTACATATGTACTTCTGCGTTACAAGTGAACCAGCAACATTGAAGTGTTGTTTGAGCAACATTAGTGCGGCACAATTGACAGGCAAGCAGAAAAAAAAAAATCGAACAAAAATGATTAATTACAATTTTGTATGAGGAATATGTTTTTCTTAAATGTAGCAACATGAACTACTCGTCTCTAACTTCACACTGCAGTTGTTGTTGGCATGATAGTTTTTATATATGTGTAGTTTTTCTTGTTGTAATTGTTGCACCGTTTTGCTGCTTTGATTAATTGAGTTTCTCGCCGATTGAAAAACGATTTTTCCAAAACCACTTTTTCTTCCTGACGTCAACTCTTAAAACTATTTAGGTACATGCGCTCGCTCGTTTGTATGTTTGTAGGTATTGCAATTCTGCTGTGTGCGCGCTCTTGCCTTTCGATAGTCGCTGATAAATCTCAACGCATTACTCGCGTAATGGGGTGCCAATTTTAACTCGTTTGACGGCAAATTTCTGGTAATTTATTAAAAAGTCAAGCAGGCATATAAATTGCGAGTTGGTTTTATTTTTATTTTTTTATTTTTTTTATTCGATTTGTGATACTCTCATTCTATACTTCAATTGAGCTTGTAAGCATTATTAGAGAAGTCCAGGCATGTTTCATGAGTGTTTATATATACATATGTACATTTGTAGTTGTGGTTGTAAGTTATGATGTATCAATAATGAATTGAAGTTGTAATTGAGTTAATTAAATCGCTTTTGACTGATTAACCGTATGAAAGTAAGTTAGTTTTAATGAATCTCGTTAGTTTATGAAAAATTTGAAAATTCTCTTATAACTAGTTTTAATAGGTTTAAACTGCGAAGCCAATTTGCAGTCAATGATTGAAATCCATTGAAACAGTGGAAATGTGTGTGGTAAATTTATATTTGCGTACAAAGTCGGCTGGGGAATTGATGAAACCAAATTTTCCTGAAAGTTTGTCTTGGAGCAAACGGCTCGCTATATAACCGTGTATTCGGTTAATAAAGCACCACCTTCCAGCAATGGCTTGTGTGCTGGGTTTGGAACCCGCCATTTAAAAACCACTTCCAGTGAAGAATTAAAATAAATCCTCGGACGAAACCCCCTCCTCTGGAATATCCGAATCCTTATTGGGGAAAGTACCTCTGCCCGGCCGGTTGATGTTCTCGTAAGGAAAAAAGCTGACATCACCGGCATTTAAGAACTTCGTCGGACGGACAAGGGAGAAAATGTCTGAGGCCTTGTGATGTCTACTACAGCTGCCATGTAAAGCAGCGAAAACTCGGTGTTGGATTTGTGGTGAGAGAGAGGGACTCCATTGCCGAGTACTGTCGTTCACCCCGGTGGACGAGCGTCCAGCCACAAGCCGCATCAAAGCGAGATTCTTGAATATTTTGGTAAGGACGTGGCATTCAAGGATTTCTTCAAAGAGCGCTTGTTGCGTACACATGAACGTTA